ATGCTAAAAACCACTGAAGTTATCCATTTTAAAGTGGTGAATTTTATGGTATGTGAGTTACAGCTCAATTTTTAGAAACTAAAGAAATCTGAATACAGTATGGAATTTAGTTAGCCAAAAAGTAGGGAGGAAGAGGAGACTATACTCAAATGTCAGTGTTATAAAAAGACAGAGTGAAAGCTGTTCCAGATTAGTTGAGATTGAAGAGCTATGACGGCTAAAGGCATTGGATGATCCTTACCTAGACTTGCAGTGGTGGAGGGAAAGGGTCATAAAAGACCTTATGTGGCTGGGCACAGTGGCTTATACCTATAATCCCAGCACTTTGGGAGGCTGAAGCAGGTGGATTACTTGAGGTCAGGAGTTTAAGACCAGCCTGGTCAACATGGTGAAACCCGTCTTTACTAAAAATCAGCTGGGCAGCAGTGGCACGTGCCTATAGTGGTAGCTACTCGGGAGGCTGAAGCAGGAGAATTGCTGGAGCCTGCGAGGTGGAGGTTGCAGGGAGCTGAGATCGTGCCACTGCCCTCCAGCCTGGGTGACAGAGAAAGACCCTGTCTCAAAAAAATAAAAGACATGGGTCAGTTGACGAAACTGCAATAAGGCTAGTAGGTTAGATTACAGTTATTTTATCAGTGTTAAATTTATTGTATATAATGAGAATCATTTGCATTTTGATTACATAATAAAATACTTTTAATTTTAGGAAGTACAGATATTTTGGGATAAGGGACATGAGTATGCAACTTATTCTGAAATTATTCAGAAACAAGTTTGTCTGTAGTGTGTACATACACAAGAGCACAGGGAGATGCAAGGGATCCAGATCAGAGGAGGGAGACAGTTCATATGGGAATTCGGGTAAAGAGTAATAACATATGTTATTCCTGCAAATTTGTTTTTTCTCTGAGTTAAGGAAAACAAAATTCAGAAAGGTGGGTGTTAGCAAGGATGTACAACAGACGGAATTCATTACTCTAGATAAGAATGTAAATCTGTTCAAACACTTTGTAGGATAATTATCTTGTACATTTCCTAGTTCCGTTTTTAGGTATATATCCTAAAGTAATTGTTGTAGAAGTGCCATTTGTACGAGGAAATATGTGCAACAATGTAATGGGAGCATTACTTGTAATAGCCAAAAACTGAGGAGCTATCTATCCACTATTAGTATAGGAACATTTTAATACAGCAGTGAAAAAGCGTAAACTATAGCATGTTGGAATGGTATATGAATCTCAAAACAATACTGAAAAAAAAAAGCAAGTCACTGAGGGGTATAAACAGAAACATTCTATTTATATAAAGGTTAAAACTAGAAAAAAGTGAACATATTATTTAAGGTTACATATGTGAAAAAACTATAAAGAAAAACAGAAGAATGAGTGGTAGTTAATTCTGGAGATGGAGGGTACACAGGAGGATTTGGAAAGGCCTGGTAACATTCTGTTTCCTAAGCTGGTGTTTTCTTTAAACTATTTCTATTACTCTGGTATGTATAGTATAGTTCTTCATTTAAAAAAGTTTTAAGCCGGGCGTGGTGGCTCAAGCCTGTAATCCCAGCACTTTGGGAGGCCGAGGCGGGTGGATCACGAGGTCAAGAGATCGAGACCATCCTGGTCAACATGGTGAAACCCCGTCTCTACTATAAATACAAAAAATTATCTGGGCATGGTGGCGCGTGCCTGTAATCCCAGCTACTCGGGAGGCTGAGGCAGGAGAATTGCCTGAACCCAGGAGGCAGAGGTTGCGGTGAGCCGAGATCGCGCCATTGCACTCCAGCCTGGGTAACAAGAGCGAAACTCTGTCTCAAAAAAAAAAAAAAAAAAAAAAAAAAACCGGTTTTAGGGCCAGACGCCATGGCTCACACCTGTATTCCCAACACTTTGGGAGGCCGAGGTGGGTGGATCACGAGGTCAAGAGATTGAGACCATCCTGGTCAACATGGTGAAACCCCGTCTCTACTAAGAATACAAAAAATTAGCTGGGCATGGTGGTGTGTGCCTGTAATCCCAGCTACTCAGGAGGCTGAGGCAGGAGAATTGCCTGAACCCAGGAGGCGGAGGTTGCATTGAACCAAGATCAGGCCATTGCACTCCAGCCTGGGTAACAAGAGCGAAACCCCGTCTCAAAAAAAGTTTCAAATCAGACAAAACTCTCCAAGCCAAAAAAAAAAGTCCACCATAAGTCATTAGATGAACAAAGCAAATCAGAAACCAGTATGTAAGTTACTAATTTTGTTAAGAAATTACATATGCATCTACATCTCTGTGTTTAAATGGGCTTATAAGTAGTTTGAGAGGATAAACATGAAAATGGGTTTTAGTGAAGGAGGATTGCAGGAAAATTTGTGTATCACCTGTGTTTTTTTACATTTTGAAATCCATGAGCATTTATTAGTCATACTCACATTATGAGATTATACTTCTTAAAATTTTGTTTATTGATATCAAAGAACTTTATATGTTTATAGGGTTTATACTTCTTTTATCTTTACTACTGTTGAATAAAGAGCCTAAAGGTAGGGTCCATGTTTTGTATATACTTCTCTGTATTCTTATAATAAGAATTGGAAAAAAATTTAAAAACGTATGTAAAGTCAGAAGGTTCAGAAATACTGAGAAAAGCAGGTTTAAAAGCAGTATTTTACATATTTAATATTAGTATCCTTATTTTGTGTATTCTGTGTCTTAAAACGAAAACATTCCACTGTTCATGATTGTTATCTCTAGGCATTGTAGTTTATCAGTGGTTTTTATTTTCTTTGTATTTTCCTTATTTGCATATATTACATATGGAAACCCCCAAAAAAAGAGAATATTTAGCATTATTAAAGATTGAAGTTCTTAGATGCTTTCAGTTACATTATCCTCACCTTTGGGGTTGTGGCTGTCCACCTGTGGTGGGGAGTGATGTCTTGCTAAGATGTAAGACTAGTGGCTGAGGATTTGCACTTCCGTAAGAGGCTGTCACCCTTTGACACCTGTGGTGATCGTATGTGTACACTATGCCTCCTTCAGGTGCTGCACTATCTGGCAATCCAGAAACCTGCAGACCTTGCTCGGCACCTGTTACCTTGTGTGATTCATGCAGCTGTACTCAAGGTAAAGGAAGAAGGTAAATGTCATATTTAACTGATCATTAGTTCATTTCCAAAGTGAAAGTATATTTTGCTTAATTGATTTAATGATGGCTTTAATCTTTTAAAAATAGAAAGTCTGGAAAATATTTCTTCAGTTAAGAAGATCATAAAGCAGATAATATCCCATTCCAGTAAAGTTTTGCACTTTCCCAATCCAGAAGACAAGAAGTTGGAAGTAAGTTTGACGTAGTGTCAGAATCTTGCCCAGTGTTCTCTTCAGTTGGCACAAATTATTTTTAAGATGCATTTTTAAAAGGCTTTGCTTTTTTGCCATCTCCCAACGTATGCCTCTTACTTTTCCACCGCCAGGAAATCATTCACCAGATTACTAATGTGGAAGCTCTTATTGCAAGAGCTCGGTCACTAAAAGCCAAGTTTGGAACTGAGAAATGTGAACAGGAGGAGGAAAAGGAAGATCTTGAAAGGTAACTGCTGTTTGGCTAATTCAGTTTTGTCCCCATAGGAAAAGCAACCACTCTCTTAAGAAAAATTGTAATGGATATTGAGACTTTTGTGGTACTCATATATTATTTGAACAAGCATTGTCTAGTGACAGAAATACTTAATTATCATAGCATTTGACTTCTCCTATATTTCTGAATCTCTGCCAGGTGTTTCCATTCTTCCCACTTTTAGAAATAGTCTCCCAGAGCCTCTTTTTCAAGGGATTCCTTGGTTTGCTCTTGGAGATGCGGTGTCTGAAATTTCTTGTGGAGAAACTGTGTTGCTCACCATGCCCCAAAACGTTGTTTTCAGCTGTTACTGTTCCTTGACCACAGTGTGAGGGTGCTGAAACCATCTCCGCTTACTGTTCCAAGTTGTTTATTTGAAACAAAATTTGTGATAGCAAAGGTACACCTCCTATGCACCTTGCAATTATGCTTTGAAAGAGGGACCAGATGGCTTTTCTCAGATGAGGCAGATGATCAGGGCAGTATTTTCTCTTTATGAAACTCAACACCATTACCAGTGGAGCTTAGATCAGTGTGAGGCCCTGTTCATTTTTTGCTTGTGTTATTTGAAAGAGCAATATTGGTTTATGTGTTGTGTGTTTTTTGTTTTTTTTTTTGAGACAGAGTCTTGCTTTGTTGCCAGGCACCAGGCTGGAGTGCAGTGATGTGATCTCGCTCACTGCAAACTCCGCCCCCTGGGTTCAAGCAATTCTGCCTCAGCCTCCTGAGTATCTGGGACTATAGGCACATGCCACCACACCCAGCTAATTTTTGTATTTTAGTAGAGATGGAGTTTCACCATGTTGGCCAGGATGGTCTCAGTCTCTTGACCTTGTGATCCGCCTGCCTCAGCCTTCCAAAGTGCTAGGATTACAGGTGTGAGCCACTGCGCCTGACCCCAATATTATTTTAATGTGTGATAAAGTGTTTCCAAATTAGTTTGTTCAGTGGCTTAAATTTGTCATCATTTAAACATTTTCATTGCCCTTTCCGTAAGAAATGGCATTATTGATGCTAAATAATTAATATTATATGACAAAGGATTTGCTGTCTTTTAACAAGTTCATGTTTGCATTTTATGTCTTTGGTTGAGTCAAATTTTCTCCCTACTTGGCTCCTGAAAAATTCTTCCTTTTAAATGTGAAGAATAAGCCCTAATCAAGGGACTCATTTCTAAAATAGCAGTATGAATTAGTGAGCAGGTGGTGCAGGCTTGGTGGCTTTGTGCCTTCAACTCTGTTAGTTCCACCATACGTTATCTGTGACATACTTGGAAGTTCAGTGTTTCCAGCATCTAATGGCACAGTTTACAATTGCAACTTTGCCCAACAGCAAGTATTTTAAGCATATGTGCATGCACGCGTGCACACACAGACACACACCGCTTAAAAAAAAACAAAAACAAATATGGATCATTACTTTTATTGGATAAATATAACTTAGTTTATGTTATCCAAATTTCTTTTCATCTTTTATTAACTGTAGCATTTTCTAAGCTTCTAGGCTGAATATTTTTTCTTAACACTTTGACAGAGATAGACTTGAAAAAATTTTTATGAACACAGGTGAAAAAGCAGGAAGATTTTCAATTGAGTGGGTATTAATTCCAAATGTCAGTCTATCTTGCTGTAAAATTTCACTCCAACCTTGGTGCGTCCAGCCAGTATGAGCTGGAGAATTTGTCCAAAAAACTCCTGTGGGAGGATGGATAGACACAAAGTGGCCTGGACAGCTCATTTCCACCCTTTCATTGGCTGTCTGTCTCTCCTAGGTTTGTGAGTTGCCTGCTGGAGCAACCTGAAGTGTTAGTCACCGGCGCAGGAAGAGGACATGCTGGCAGGATCATTCACAAGCTGTTTGTGAGTGCTCAGAGGGTATGTGAGAACCTTTGCTGACTCTTATCATGATCTCTCCAGACCTCTGCTCTGCAAGAGGCTGTTTTAGTTCTCACACGTGGCTGATCACAGTGATGTCATCCAAGCGTAAGTCTGGGCATTGGGTTTGAACAATGAAGAAACAATGATTTCTGAGCCTCGAAATCTGTTTTCCTACATGTTGAATTAAAATGATAAGTGTATTCTAGGACCTACATTTTAAAAATCAGAAGAGTCCAAAATCCATTGTTATAGAAGCTGGCAGGGATATGATTAGCAATGGCCAATGCTGTGCTGTAGGAAAACATGTTTACTTACAGATACTTTCAAATTAGAATGGAGTTCAGTTTTACCATCTTTAAAGCCCATGTAGCGCAAAGTGGATTCACTTGTAATGGTGAAGATATCTACCTTTGAGGTTTCCTAGGAAAGAGGAAAACTTCAGATTTTTAGGGCTATGGAAACAGATTTTTGCACAGCCTGAAAAATTATCATAATCATTACCTCTAGTAGTGAAAGTAAAGGTTTTAAAATTACATATTATCGGGTGGCTGCGGTGGCTTATGCCTGAAATTCTAGCACTTTGGGAGGCTAAGGCAGGTGGATCGGGTTCCTGAGTGACCTTGTGGTCAGGAGTTCAAGACCAGCCTGGCAAACATGGTGAAACCCTGTCTCTACTAAAAATACAAAAAATTAGCCAGGTGTGGTGGTGTGCACCTGTAATCCCAGCTACTTGGGAGGCTGAGGCAGGAGAATCGCTTCAACCCAGGAGGTGGAGGTTGCAGTGAGCAGAGATCGCACCACTGCACTCCATCCTGGGCGACAGAGTAAGGTTCTGTCTCAAAAAAAAAAAAAAATTATGTATTATCTTGATTACAGGCTAAGGGCTCTGACATCCCACAGATAATGATCAATTCAGGGCTCATTAATATTAGTGATTCTGATAACGGTATTATGATGTGCACTAATTACCTGCTCCCCCTTACATGGCACTGTGATTACACTAGAATGACCCCATTTTGAGAGTGTAATTTTCAGAATCAAATAAGAAAAATAATTTCTATGGGTCTACACATGGAATAACAACTGGATAATCCCTGTAGAGTTGGTCTGGAGTACAACTAGTTAATATATTCCAATTCATAGCCAAATATACTGGTAGGAGTTCTTAGCAAGAGCTAAAATCTTAGTTTGTTTATGGGGCAGCTCCCTAAACTTCAGAATTTCAAATTAATAACCAAATATTTATTTCCTTCTAAATTAGTCTTCTAGCAAACAATAGATGCTTGCTTTGTTTTGTTTTTGTCTCTGGCATGAAAACGAGAACCGAGCGTGGTTCCACATCTGATGATACCTACCCAGTTCACTACCCAGAAGCTTACAAGCACATTTTTTTCCTTAGCCGCCAATATGAATGTTCCACATATTGCAAAAAAGTCTTTCCCCTTTGTTTTTAAAAAGTGACATGTTAGCTGGTTGCGGTTGCTCACACCTGTAATCCCAGCACTTTAAGAGGCCAAGGTAGGTGGATCCCCTGAGGTCAGGAGTTCAAGACCAGCCTGGCTAACATGGTGAAACCCCGTCTCTACTAAAAATACAAAAAGTAGCCAGGCATGGTGGTGAGCACCTGCAATCCCAGGTACTGGAGAGGCTGAGGCAGGAGAATGACTTGAACCTGGGAGGTGGAGGTTGCAGTGAGCCGTGATCATGCCACTGCACTCCAGCCTAGGTGACAAGAGTAAATCTCCATCTCAAAAAAAAAAAAAAGTTACATGTTAAGAGGATTTAAAATCTGAAATATTTATATTTTAAGTCCTAAGATTGTTGATAACTAAGCAAAATTATTTTCCCCAAAATAGAAATAACCTCCTTATCCCTCTACTGACTGCAAGTAAAACTTTGACAGTATGGGAAATTTTATATTTACTTATTTATTTTCTAAAGAATGGGTCTCATTCTGTTGTCCAGGCTGGAGTGCAGTGGCACAATTGTAGCTCACTGCAGCCTTGAACTCCTAGGTTTAAGCAGTCCTCTCGCTTCAACGTCACAAGAAGCTGGAACCACAGGAATGCAACACCACGCCCAGCTAATTTTTGTATTTTTTGTAGAGATGGGGTCTCACTTTGTTTTCCAGGCTGATCTAAAACTCCTGGTTTCAATTAGTCCTCCTTCCTCGGCCTCCCAAAGTGCTGAGATTATAGGTATGTGTGAGCCACTGCAACTGGCCTAGAAAATTATAAGAAAATATTAATCACATGATCTAACTACACATTGATGATTTAAGATCTAGTATATACATGTGCATATAATTCTGAAAATAGGGGTATATTATGTAATTACTTCATTATTCTTATTTTCTACTGAATATACTTAAGATATCTTTCAAAATCACTAAATACAGGAACATAGTATATCATCATTCAGTGGCCTCATTGTATAGCTAATCCCCTTAATGAATGGAAATCGTGGATTCATCTATATTATTCCATTTAAGAAAAAATGTCAAGTTTCAGACCTTGTAGTGAATGTCTGTAGTGAATGTTGTTATATGTAATCCATATAACAAGCGTCTGGGTGGTACATTTTTTTTTTTTTTTGAGACGGAGTTTCGCTCTTGTTACCCAGGCTGGAGTGCAATGGCGCGATCTCGGCTCACCGCAACCTCCGCCTCCTGGGTTCAGGCAATTCTCCTGCCTCAGCCTCCTGAGTAGCTGGGATTACAGGCACGTGCCACCATGCCCAGCTAATTTTTTGTATTTTTAGTAGAGACAGGGTTTCACCATGTTGACCAGGATGGTCTCGATCTCTCGACCTCGTGATCCACCCGCCTCGGCCTCCCAAAGTGCTGGGATTACAGGCTTGAGCCACCGCGCCCGGCCTGGGTGGTACATTTTTAAACTTAGTTCTTAGTCTGGCTGAAGTAAACTGTTAAGGGTTTATTCATATGCCTTTCCATTAGGTGATACTTTGTATCAGTTTTACAAGTCAAGATTTTAACACTTTTTCTTTGAAAGTTGTGATGCAGTTTCACTTGGTGTTTTTATAGCTTATAGTAATTTTATATATTTATAACTTTTCCTTAAAATTATAAATAGCAATAAGCCTTATGATTATAGGTATCTCTGGTATATACATACTTAAATGGAATTCAGCAAATAAATGACTGGATTTTTGCTTCAGGCTTGCTAGATTGAATAACTCTTAGGCACCTATTTCTGAATTCCCTGGAATATCTATTTCTCAAGCCATGAACATTTTTTTTTTTTTTTAAGCATCATAATTCCCCGTAGAAGAGCTAGGTTTCTGTTGGTCATTTCTGCATTAAATGACACCATGTCACCTGTTGAGCCATAGATGCATGAGTAGTAGATGTCTGCTGTAGTTGACAGCAAGGTGTGCTGTGTGTGGTGTGACTTTGTGTTGAATATTATCATGTTCCTTAATGTAATGCATGCTGTCTCAGAAATAATCCTGAAATCCATTGTCTAGCCTTGTTTAAACCATCATGCTTGTTTCCCTTTCATCACTGTTTCTTTTCTCACCCTTTCTCAAGCTGACTGAATCTTCTGATGAGGTAACAAAATAGCCTTTGCCCCTCCTAGTTCCTTGTTCCTTCCCATCCCTCTAACTTCATAAGGTCATGAACACTAACCACCTCCCTCACAGTCTGGATTTGGCTTACCTCACTTGCTGATGTTTAGTGCAACATGATTTCATGTTTCCATTCCCAAAACAATTTTTTTGCCCAAATTGATGGTATTATCAAAAATACAGTAATCAGAATTAAAATTTTAGGCTATAAGTGAATATGCATTTTATGTCATTTCAATGAAAAAATAGATGCCTTTGATACTGAGAACTTCTCTTTTGTGGTCATTGCTGTATGGGTCTCTGTCACTTCAGCATCACATTAGCTGCCCAGAAAGCAAGACTAATGCCCCCTCTTTTAATTTGGCAAGTGAACCTTAAAAAGAATTGATTAAAAATTCTTACCCAGAGTGAAGATGAAAATCATCTCTGGAGAAAAACAGCTCCTTACTGGGCTGGGGCTACCAGACAGAGACTTGAGTCGTTGCTGGAAGAAACAGAAAGCAGCACAGCTCTGTGGGCCTTTTTCATCAGATGTCTGAATATGGCCCTCTCTCTTCAGAGCAGATTGCCTGGCAGTCATCATCCCTCCTGTCTCTGTCTCCAGTCCGGCTGCTCATGCCGTGTTTCAAGCTTCTTGCATTTGCTGTGTAATGTGGTTTTGAGTAATCTTTCATACAGCTGACTGCATTACTGAGTAACATAGGACATTTTCATTTATTTATCATGTTAATTCATCTGTCCTTCAAAAGCATCTGAGTTTAGCATTTTACCTGCTTTTGACTTCAGCATTTGATTCTTTTCCAGGCTGCAGCCCTGGCTCCACCAGAGGAGGAATTCACGAGAATGGGCTCTGCAGAGGAAAGGCGGCAGAACTCCGTGTCAGACTTCCCACCCCCTGCTGGCCGGGAATTCATTTTGCGGACCACTGTGCCACGCCCTGCTCCCTACTCCAAAGGGCTGCCTCAGCGGATGTACAGTGTTCTCACCAAAGAGGAATTTAGACTTGCAGGTGCCTTTTCATCAGATACCTCCTTCTTCTGATTCTTCTAGCATTACTCGTTGACGGCTTCTTGAGACAGTGCTGCCTCCTGTGGGAGGGAAGGTGAGCCAGGGAGAACCCGAGAGGTCTTGGAGAGGGCCTTGCCCAGTTGGGTGATCAGGAATCAAACCAGCATCAGAAAGACTTCCCAGCACCAAGCTGGAGCTGTGTTGTTTCATGGAGGGGGCAGAGAGAATGGGCTTGAGCTGTTGAGAGATTTCTGCCCTAGAGATGGCCTTTGTATATAGAGAGGAAACACAAACACATCATACACTCTGTGTCATCATACACTCTGTGTCCTCACCCTGGTGGGACCGTGTTCATCACATTCTCTTCTGTGACTGTCCTCTAGGCTGGCGGCTGTATTCATGGTCTGTGTAAACACTTCGTGGTTCTATATATCAGCATCAAGTGTTCAAAATAAAATATCTGTTAACTCAGATTTCTGGATATTTTGGTGGTAGCTTCTAGTCCCAGAATCTGTGTTTTTAAAATACTACAAGACATCTGTCTATTCAATCACCTGGTGGTCATTTTTCTTGTACTAATTAACTGTTGATGAGCATTTTGGATATTCTAGGAAAAAACCTATAATTTCACAGTTTCTCTTTTTCATGTAACTGTATTACTTCTGATAAAACAATGTATCAAATGTCACTGCAAATTAGTTTTATATCTATCTTGTGAGATTTGTCTTACTTATTTTCCTTTTGTGTGACATGTAAGTCATCACACTGAAAATCATCTCCCTCCCCTTCTCTTGCTGTACAGCATGGATTCTTTTTCTGTGGTTGCTGGCTGCGTACCCTATTGAAGTAGAGAACAGCACATGCAAAAATACAGTCTGGGAACCTAGGGACTCATGCAGATAGTATCATTTGGTTTATGCGCTAATGCAGTGAGTAGAGGATTATTTTAACACACTATTTTGCTTTGTATTTTAGTTAAAATAATCTATGGGGACGTGTAGCCCCCAGTATGAGAATAACATCACCACATTTCTAGTTACGTGGAGATCAACATGTATTACGTCTGTGTTGCTAGAAGGTCTCTGCTTGGTAATCTTATTTTTAGGCCTAAAATTTCCACTTCAATCCAAAGTAAAAATGGTTATACTGAAGCATAAACATAGAGAGAAAGGGCTGCCTCGAGGTAAGTGTGGGAATGTCAGTTCCCCTTATAGTATTTTGGTAGCAGGGTGGGTGCACTTAAAACTTTCCCCAAGCCAAGTGGGGTTTGGGTTTCTTGCACTGCTCCTTGCCAGGCATTGGTGGACAGGATGTAGAGGGATGGAAGGCCATGAAACAGCCTCCAGTTTGCCTCAGTCCAACAGGTGGCCCTGTCCACTGTCCTGGCCCCTACTCCCAACTCCTTTCTTCTCAGCACACTGTAACAGATAGGGTTGGATGGATGGATGGGTAGATGGATGCCTTGATGCCTCTATACCTCTATGGCAGAAGAGGCCCCACTCTTGTTTAAATCTTCTGGCCTGTAACTTTCACCCATTGGGCGTCATGAGACTACACTTGAGAATATTAGCTCCTGGAAGCCCAAGGACTCTGCTGCTGGCTTTTCTCTGGCTCTCAAAAGTGGGATTTGGCTAGTTCTTGAAACACAAGCTCAAGCTACTTCATCTAAACAAAACTTCTCTGCTAGCTCTTCCCCTGGTAGGTTGTGATATCTGACAGGTGATCATGGATAGATCCTTCCAAAGTGAACAGTTGACCCTCCTGCAGGGAGCGTTCTTGGCCTTCGCTTAGCAGCCAAGGAAGCAGCTGAACCAGAAGACCCCAGCTTGGGACTCCGCGTGGAGACGTGGCCCAGCCCCTCAGGGTTGGGGCCCTGCCACCAGCCCACACACAAGCCCCATGGCAGGAATGCTGGTGACCAGTGCTCTGGAATGGCCCCTACTCTTCAACATGTGCCCCAAAATGGGATGGTGTCCCAGGAGGGGGTCCCCATCCCTCACTCATCCAGGAGTCACCAGGTCTGCCTGTGTGCGGGGCCAGGGCCTTGCCTTAAACCGCTTCCTTTGCTTCAGTTAAACTTTGCTTCGGAAAGGTGGCCTCGGCTGTGGTCGGACAGTCTGACCTGGGTCATCAGTGATGGGACACGCTCAGAACTCTTCCAAAGCCCTCCAGCCACAGGATGATTTGAGTAAATAATGACTTGTCCATGCTATTTGTCCATATTCCTCTTTCTCAGCCCTATTTTGTCCCAAAACACTATTTTTGCCTGTGTTACATAATGAAGGAAACTGCGTTCTTGGTAACCCACTGTCACTCTGCTGTGTTACCTTGCCTATATGAAAAAAGGAAATATTTTTAGAGTGTGAATTTCCCAAACATCCTCAACTATTCTTGGATTGGAGTTACAACGTCATGAAGGGAGTGCGACGGTGGGTGGCCCAGCCATCTCCGAGGCTATGGCTGAGTCCCATCCGAGGACTTCCATTGCCACTGAGGCTGCATTGAGACGTGCCCTATCCTGCCCTGTCCCTGTGGCAGGTGGCTCTCTTTGCACAGGGCTTCCCACTGTCAGCAGTGGATTCCAGAGCCTAGGAATACTCTTCATTGATTTTCTTGACTCCTGTTGTTATTTTGGGGAAAAAAAACACCAGCAATGGCCTGTCTTCTTAGGGACTCAAGTAGGACGCAGAAATCCCCATTGGGGGTCCAGGGGAGCAAACTGCCTAGAGTAAGCATGCAGGCTTCCTCCCTGCCACCAGGGACATGGTAGGAAGACTTCCCCAACACAGATGTTAGCAGGGTGAATGCTGTCCCATCAGTAAAGCAAACCTGTCCAAAATGGTCAGGTATTTCAGGTCTTGCCATCTGGCTGGGGAGCCAGACGTGCTTCTTTAGTGTGTTTATCAGCTCCCCAGGTATGTCCTGGTAGACAGCTGCTCCCAGGAGCTGGCGTAGAAACAAACTTGCAGGAAAAGCCAGCCCATTCCAGGCGTGTGGAAGCTGCTGGCAGAAGCCCAGCAAGGACATACCTGGGTCATAATGGAAGCAATGCAACCAAAAATCCTTGATCGAGCCAGGACAGATGTGGCCTCATCACTGAAGATTCCATCTGAGACCTGCAAATAATCCAAATTGTATATGCTCTTAGAGCAGATAATTTTCTCACAGTTAAATAAAATCTGTCTTAAGTGGAAATTATGAGTGGCCCATCCCCCTGCTACCCACTTAACTTTTCTTTTGTGTGCTCTGATGGAGAGAAAAGACAAAAGCTGTGTGGGGTCACTTCTCAGGACAGAACTTGGCAACATGGCCACAGAGCTGATTTAGTGGATACATTTTCAATTAAGTGGTTCTTTTTTTTTTTTTTTTTTTTGAGACGGAGTTTCGCTCTTGTTAACCCAGGCTGGAGTGCAATGGCACGATCTCGGCTCACCGCAACCTCCGCCTCCTGGGTTCAGGCAATTCTCCTGCCTCAGCCTCCTGAGTAGCTGGGACTACAGGCACGCGCCACCATGCCCAGCTAATTTTTTTTTTGTATTTTTAGTAGAGACGGGGTTTCACCATGTTGACCAGGCTGGTCTCGATCTCTTGACCTTGTGATCCACCCGCCTCGGCCTCCCAAAGTGCTGGGATTACAGGCTTGAGCCACTGCGCCCGGCTAAGTGGTTCTTAAATTTGAATTCTAGGTTTTTCCATTTGAACTCTATCAGACGTGGTAGAGAGCTACTGATAAATTTGGCAAAAGATATGCAAGGTTCCCAGAGACAAAATCATGGGACTTTATTGAAAAAGAATTAAAAGATATGAGAATGTCACTATTGCTATTGTTATATTATTTTGGTAACATACCATTGTTCTTGTACAGAAAGACAAGGTACCACAAAGATGTCCATTCTTCCCACAATGACATATAATTCCAAACAAAATCCCTGAAATACTTTTTTTGGTGGAATTAGAATAGTTGAATCTGAATTGTACATGGAAATATAAAAGGCCATGAATAACCAAATGATTCCTGAATAATAATGTCGTGGATATTGCTCTATAAGATAGTAAGACTTACTGTAATGCTATACTGTAAAAGATTACGATACTACCCTATGATCCGCAATCCCACTGCAGGGTGTCTATCCGAAGGAAAGGAAATCGGCATATCAAAGAAATATCTGCACTCCCATGTTTATTGCAGGACTGGTCACAATAGCCAAGATGTGAAATCAAGCAAAGTGTCCATCGGCAGATGGATGAATTAAAAAAAAGTGATCCCGAGGTCGAGAGATCAAGACCATCCTGGTCAACATGGTGAAACCCCGTCTCTACTAAAAATACAAAAAATTAGCTGGGCATGGTGGCACGTGCCTGTAATCCCAGCTACTCAGGAGGCTGAGGCAGGAGAATTGCTTGAACCCAGGAGGCGGAGGTTGCAGTGAGCCGAGATCGCGCCATTGCACTCCAGCCTGGGTAACAAGAGCGAAACTCCGTCTCAAAAAAAAAAAAAAAAAAAAAAAAAAAAGTGATCCATGGCCCAGTGCAGTTGCTCATGCCTATAACAGCACTTTCAGAGGGCAAAGTGTGTCGATCACTTGAGGCCAGGAGTTCGAGACCATCTCGGCCAAGATGGTGAAACCTCACCTCTACTAAAATATAAATATTAGCTCAGGCTGGGCGCGGTGGCTCAAGCCTGTAATCCCAGCACTTTGGGAGGCCGAGGCGGGTGGATCACAAGGTCAAGAGATCGAGACCATCCTTGGTCAACATGGTGAAACCCCATCTCTACTAAAAATACAAAAAATTAGCTGGGCATGGTGGCGTGTGCCTGTAATCCCAGCTACTCAGGAGGCTGAGGCAGGAGAATTGCCTGATCCCAAGAGGCGGAGGTTGCGGTGAGCCAAGATCGTGCCATTGCACTCCAGCCTGGGTAACAAGAGTGAAACTCCGTCTCAAAAAAAAAAAAAAAAAAAAAAAATTAGCTCAGCATGGTGGCACATGCCTGTAATTCCAGCTGCTCGGGAGGCTTAGGTATAAGAATCTCTTGAACCTGGGAGAGGTTGCAGTGAGCTGAGATTGCACCACAGCACTCCAGCCTGGGTGACAGAGCGAGATTCTGTCTCAAACAAACAAAAAAATGTGGTACATATACACAATGGAATACTATTCAGTGATTAAAAAAAGAGTGAAATTCTGTGATTTGCGACAACATGGATAAGCAGAGAGGATGTAATGTTAAGTGAATAAGCCAGGCACAGAACTAATACCACATGTTCTCACTCACATGAGGTGTCTGAAGAAGTTGCTATCATAGAAGTAGAGAGTAGAACAGTGGTTACCAGATGTTGGGGAGGTGGTGGGGGTCGGGGAAATGGGAAGAAGTTAGTTAATGGGTAAAAAGTCACAGTTAAATTGGAGAAATAAGTTCTAATGTTTTATTGCACAGTAGGGTGACTATAGTTAACAATACTGAATTGTTCATTTCAAAATAGCTAGAAAAGATTTTGAATGTTCTTATCACAAAGAAATGACAAGTGTTTGATGGATATACTAATTACATTGTGTAATAATTTGATTATTACACAATGTATACTTGTATGAAAGCATTACACTCTACCCATAAATATGTACAATTATTATGGTCATTTAGAAGCAAAAGTTAAGGCTGCACATGGTGGCTCACACCTATAATCCCAGCACTTTGGAAGGCTGAGGTGGGAGAATCACTTGAGCCCAGGAGTTCAAGACCAGCCTGAGCAACATAGCGAGGCCTCATGTCTATAAAAAGAAAGTAGTAAAAATGGCTCCCGCCTAGAAACCTAGAACTTCGGGAGGCTGAAGCAGGTGGATTGCTTGAGCCCAGGAGTGTGAGTCCAGCCTGGACAACATGGCAAAACCCTGTCTCTACAAAAAATACAAAATTAGCTGAATGTGGTGACACATCCTTATAGTCCCAGCTACTCAGGAGGCTGAGCCCTGGAGGTCGAGGCTCAGTGAGATGTGATGGTACCACTGCACTCCAGCTATGGTGACAAAGTGAGGCCCTGCCTCAAAAAAAAAATTAATAAATAAAAAAGTGAAGATTAGCCAGGCTTGGTGGCATGTGCCTGCAGTCCCAGCTACTTGGGATGCTGAAGTTGCAGTGAGCTGAGATTGTACCGCACTCCAGCCTGGGTGACAGAGGTAGACCCTGTCTCAAAAAAAAAAAAAAAAAAAGTAAATAAATAAATAAAAAGAGCATGGCACTGACTTAAAGTAGTCCAGTAGAACAGATAGAGAGTTCAGAAGCTGACCTGTCCATATAAGGAAACCTGAGTTCTGATAGAGATGGGAAGGCAGATCAGTGGGAAAAGATGGACTCGTCCACAAATAGTGCTTGGACAAGAGGTGATCCTTGTATCCCAAGAGGAAAAATAAAATTAGATCCCTATATCACTCCCTACTCAAAAATCAATGTCTGGTAGATTGTTCTGTTCTGTAAAACACAAATACATAAAACATTTAGAATACTATGTGGGAAAGTAGCTTTAAAATTCCAGAGTAGAGAGGTCTTCTTAAATAAATACAAAAGAATATGAATCCTAAAGGAAACACAAATAATATGAACCACAAAAGAAAAGATGGATACATTTGACTCCATTAATATTAAGGACTTATGTTTAACAAAGAAAATACAGAAGGAGAAAAGACAAGCTACACACTAGGGTAAGAAATCTGCACGTAGACAACCAACATGGATTAGCGCACAGAACAGACTTCACAGTCCCTCCCTTGAATCAGTAAGACTAAAAACGATAGCAAAATCACACACGCACACACATGCACACACACACACACACACACACACACACAAAGACAGGAACAAGGCTGTCATAGAAGAGGAAAGAGGAGTGAGCAAAACACAGGATCAGCTGTTCAACCTCATTAGTAATTTGAAAAATGCAAATCAAAATCACGAGACACCATTTCACACATACCAGATGGGCACCCATTTTGAAGTTAGACAATATTCAAATGTTGACAAGGATTCTGAGCAACAGGAGCTCTTATTCATTGCTGGCAAGACCGCAAATTGGTGCAACTTTGGAAAACAATTTGGCATTACCTAATAAGGTTTGAACGAATACATACCCTACAACGCAGTAATTGTGCTCCTGGGATGGTCCCTCAATCAGCAGGATCAGTATCAGGGTAACTTGTTAGAAATGCCAGTCTCCAGCCACTAGGCCCACTGAGCCAGAAACTCTAGGGCTGGGGCCCAGCAACCTGGGTTTCCGCAAGCCTTTCAGGTGACTTTGATACACATCCGAGTGTGAGAACCACTGCTTTTGAGAAATGTTTGCAGATATGGGCACCAGGAGATGTGAACAGCAACGTTCACAGCAGTACTTCAGAGAAACCACAAACGAAACTGTGATGTCCTTCAAAAGTAAAAAAGATAGTTATATTATTTTAGAGAATAGTGAAAAGAAATGAACTATTATTACACTTACTGGCATGGTATCACAAACATAAAACTGAATGGCAGAAGCATGTCACGGGGACATATATGCGCTACACTTTCATTATATAAAGGTCAAAAACAACTCAGTAACTTTTTAGGAGTATGCTCCTATGTGGTACCCCCCTAAAGAAAAGCTAAGGGGCTGCTTTCCACACAATCACACAATTCAGGGTCTGTTTATGGGAGGGAAAGGGGACACACTTGGGCAGCAGGGGACTGAGTTTAAAGGCAGAGGGAATACTCTCTTTTTTAAGCTAGGTGGGAGGTACACTGCTGTTCATTTTACTATTTTTAAAAAATAGTATATATTTAAGCCAGGCGCAGTGGCTCACGCCTGTAATCCCAGCACTTTGGGAGGCCAAGGTGGGTGGATCATTTGAGGTCAGGAGTTTGAGACCAGCCTGGCCAATGTAGTGAAACCCCACTTCTACTAAAAATGCAAAAAATTAGTCAGGTGTGGTGGTGTGTGCCTGTAGTCCCAGCTACTCGGGAGGCTGAGGCAGGAAAATAGCTTGAGCCTGGGAGGTGGAGGTTGTAGTAAGTCGACATCACGCCACTGTACTCCAGCCTGGATGACAGTAAGACCCTGTCTCAAAAATAAATAAATGAAATATAAAAATAGTATATATTTCTATCCTATTGTGGGACTAAAAGTCTCCATCACAGCAGATGCAGGATTGCGTTATGAAGCAGTTGACGCAAAGGCTGCAGCCAGCCCGCCGAGCCTGAGGCCTGAGTCTGGGGGTCTGGCTGTAAGCCCCAAGTTGGTCTGGCCCATGCACACTGGCCATCAGCTTGCACACTGATGGGGACAATTCTGGATCTTCTGACTGGGTGGGACTTTGAGGAAACACAGAGTCCCACTTCTGCCTGTCCACCCTGGTCCTCAGTGGGGCCTTCCCTTTTGCCCCCTGACTTTGCTGGCCCCTCCCTGTCTCCTCTTCTCCCAGTAGGATAAGAGCTTTAGCTGGGGCCTGAGTGGAGGATGGAAGCCAATTGCCAATTTATGGGAACTTTTATAATAGTACAGTTTTATTGTGTATGTCTTGTGTGTATCTTTATATATGTACACACACACATACATATAACACAACAGAGAAAGGATGTTTATGATTGTGCGTGGTAATTTTTTTTTTTTTTTTGAGACAGAGTCTCGCTCTGTCAAGAGGGTAGAGTGCAGTGATACGATCTCGGCTCACTATAACCTCCACCTCCTGGATTCAAGGGATTCTCCTGCCTCAGCCTCCTGAGTAGCTGGGACTACAGGTGCCCGCCACCATACCCAGCTAATTTTTGTATGTTTAGTAGAGACGGGGTTTCACCACGTTGGCCAGGATGGTCTCAATCTCTTGACCTTGTGATCCACCTGCCCTGGCCTCCCAAAGTGCTGTGATGACAGGCAGGAGCCACCACGCCCAGCCACGAGTGGTAATTTTTAAAAACTATTTCATTTACATGAGCATTTAGGTAAGTCATCTATCTTTATAAAAAATTCTTTTAACAAGTATTTCCCTAAAATAATGACAGGTGGTCATTAGGTCTTTCAGCCACATGACAGAGATTTAGCCTCTCAGTGATCAAATCCACCACTCTGGTGGCTGTGTGGAAGGTGGGTTAGGGAAGGCCAGGCTGGAGTGTGGCCCTGAGAGGATGCCTCCTGGGACTGAGGCTTTCCAGGTACATGGATGCTACTGTCTCTGGGAGTCGCAGGTAGGCAAGTGCCGAGAAACATGATTGTATTCATCACTGGTGTCTCACAGGGCCCACCGGACTGCCCACAGTTTCATTCCGTCACAGCGGCATAGAGTATAGGAAAGACTTGCAACTCTTTTGGAGCTCAGGAAGGGTGCCCTCCTTTTGAGATCCACCCATCCTTCAAGACTGAATCTGCACCAGATATTTCTGCAAGGACTGGGGCTGACCCCACCGAGAAGGAGTTAATGAGTCCTTTTAACAAAAGACCTTCCCCAGCAGCCTTTTCCAATGACAGTAGGTGACTCAGAGATCCTGCCATCTGGGTTGTTAGCAGATCTCAGTGTCAAACAAGCAGGCTTCTCAGGGAAACTTCAACCAGGCATTGTTTCTTATGAAAGGCTCATGTTTGACAGGAAGAGAATGGTATGTAAGTTCCAGGAGCACAGGGTTGGGTTCCAGGGTCAGGACAAGAAGCAGGGCACCCAGAAGAGCAAAAGGGACTGAACGCTGCAGCCCCGTATGTTCCCGACCCTCAGAGGGATAGACCCTTCCCGTGCCGCAGCTTCTAGATCCCACCAGGCGGAATGTGCTGGACAGGGAATGACTGTCTTGTTCAAAATGTTCCCAAATCTAGCCTCTGAGCACACTTCCTGATTTGGAGGGAGGATGGGAGGAGTTTACTCCACAGGAGTAAACTGGAAGGCTGCTTTGCACCGCCTTACTTATCCCGCCCGGGCAGCTTTGAAAATGCTGCGTTCTTACCAGGAATTATCAGTGGGCTCAGTCAGAGTTCTGGACAGCTTAGGATCCTCCGGGCCTCAATTTCTTGATTTCAGTAGGAAGATAGTTATTTTGTTATCCTTCTTTAAAAGAATGGAAAATGTAATACTGTGTTTCCATGGAGGCCTCTAAAGAAAGATCATTCTCCTTTAGAAGAGCATCCAAGAAATTACACTCAAACAAATCTTCATTTGGCAGAACACCATTAAATCAGCTGAAAGATATTTATACCTGTGCTTATAATTCCGTGGCTTGTCGTGGGGATGGAGAGGAGGAAGTTAGGAATCAAATGCTCCCTCATTTTTCAGAGGAATGACTGGAAGACTCTGGGAAAAGATCCTAAATTGTTAGGTTTCATACTCATCCATCTTAAGTTCACTAGAAACAATAGTTTTCTTATTAATAAAAATAACCATAAGAATAGAGTAATAACAAGTAAGGACAGAGATATGTCAATTAACTGTGAGGATTTATTTGGTCCCTCCATTAATCAGACTGATAAAACAGTCCACAGAGCAGATGCCTCAGTAGGAATTGTATAAATTCCTACTGAGCACTGGAATTCGTGTTTTTTCCCTCACCTACCCTGATTTGCTTCCTTTTAAAGATCCATGTGCTCTTGAGCTTTCCAGCAATATACCTATCAAAATGGTATCTGTGGGCCAGGCGTGGTGGCTCACACCTGTGATACCAGCACTTTGAGAAGCCGAGGCGGGAGGATCACAAGGTCAACAGATCGAGACCATCCTGGCCAACTTGGTGAGAACCTGTCTACTAAAAATACAAAAATTAGCTGGGCACAGTGGCATGTACCTGTAAACCCAGCTACTCAGGAGGCTGAGGTAGAATCGCTTGAATATGGGAGGCGGAGGCTGCAGTGAATTGAGATCGTGCCACTGCACTCTAGCCTAGTGACAAAGCGAGAATCCGTCTCAAAAAAAAGAAAAAAAAAATTGTTACCTGTTAGGTGCAAAGGCCTGGGCCACAGCTGCTCAGAATCAAGAGGGTTTGGGGGAGGTGGAAGTAGGATGCTGGATGAAAAATTTACCCATAAAATAGTGGCACGGGCTCCAAAATGATGCCCCTGGAAGTCTGCACCACCCAAGGAGACCTGCACTTCCCGAGGCTGAGCACGCTCAGCTTGTTAAATACTAGGACACATAGAATAAAGTTTTAGGGGTTCCTTTGGGATATATTCATACACCAAGTATTTCTGAACAGGGTAAGCCAGAAAATGTCTCAGTTCTTCCAGTGGCAAAATGAGGACACAACATCTGCCTTTTATTTGCCATAGAACTCCTAAGAGTCAGGACTGATTTTCAGCAAAACTACACAATGGCTGAAGCAGGTATTTGAAATACGGCTGATTCAAACTAATCATCCAATTTACCAATGGGTCATGCCCACTCCTCAGACACCCCCACTTATGAGCCACCCCCACCGCCATTACACTTACCTTAATATGGCAGAGCCTTATACTAGCTAATCCAATGAATGACTTCATGCCTGCACAGAGGAGGCCAGCTGTGACTGTCAGGATACATTGTGCTACAGATGCCAAGACTCTGAGTCTGCTAGATGGCACATTCTTGAGGGGCAGAAACCATGTTTTATTTACATTGCTCTTTAACCCACCTAACCCATATATAATACATGACTAATTAATTGAGCATGCAAATGAGTCCTATAATTGCTTTAGCTAAGCTAGGTAGCATTTCTGTTGTGAAATAGCTCAGATTTCCAAATATGTGTATATTGGAAGGTATACACAATGGCAATGATCACTGTGACTTAAAACCAAACTTCAGAGTATTACTTTACCTTAAAGAAAACAGGTAACCACTCTCTGAGTTTTCTGCTAATCAGTGCCTCATTTCTCTCTCTGTCTTTTTTGTTTTTTTATTAAAGACAAGGTCTCACTCTGTTGCCCAAGCTGGAGTGCAACAATGTGATCATGCCTCATCATAACCTCAAATTCTTGGTCTCAAGAGGTCCTTCCACCTCAGCTTCCTGAGTAGCTGGGACTACAGGTGTGTACCACCACCCCAGCTAATGTTTAAAAAATTTTTTGTAGACAAGAAGTCTTGCTATGTTGCCCAGGCTGGTCTTGGACTCCTGGCCTCAAGCAACCGGAAGTGTTGGTATTACAGGTGGGAGCCACCACAACCAGGCTGCCTTGCTTTCTATAGTTTCACCACATAGGACTGTATTCCCAAACAATATGCTATGAAGTTGGTGGTGTTTCTGAGACAGAGATTTCACTCTGTTGCCCAAGCTTAAGTGCAGTGGCTGAATCACAGCTCACTGCAGCCTTAACCGGCTGGGCTTGAGTGATCCTCCTACCTCAGCCTCCAAGTGGCTGTAAATACAGGTGCGCACCACCATGTCTGGCTAATTTTTAAATTTTTTTAGAAACATGTAGTGTTTCACCACGTTGGCCAGGCTGGTCTCGAACTCCTGGCCTCAAGCTATCTGCCCACTTCAGCCTCGCAAAATGTTGGGATTACAGGCATAAGCCACTGCACCTGGCCTGCTATCCAGTTTAGCTTGTTTTTGACCTTTTAAGTGAAATCACAATGTATTCGTCCTGATTTGTTTATGTTGTACTTTCTATATGTGACATCACCCACATTGATACACATAACTTCATTAATTTTCACAGCTGTATAGTATTTAATTATGTGACTATATCCAATTTAGCCATTCTTCTATCATGAACACTTGGGTTGTCCGGACTTTTTGCTGTTACAAGCAGTGCTTTCTGAGCAACCTCGGGAGTGACTCCTCCATCACATGCAGTTTCTCTAGTATATGCATTCAGTCAAGTATCTGCATCTTTGACTTCATTTGATAATGTCCAGTTGTTTTCCAAAGTGGCTGTACTAATTTATAGTCCAAATAGTTCTGGATGAGAGTTTGTTTTACTCCATATCCTTATAGGCTCTTGGGTGTTGACAAATTTTTTTTTTACCAATTTGCTGGTTGTAAAATAGTATCCTTTTTTAAAAAAAAAATTTCTTTTTTTAAGACAGGGTTTCACCATGTTGGTCAGGCTGGTCTTGAACTCCTAACCTCAGGTGATCTGCCTGCCATGGCCTCCAAAGTGCTTGGATTACTGGCGTGAGCCACCGCGCCCGGCCCTTATCCTTTTTTTTTTTTTTTGAGACAGAGCGTTGTTCTCTTGCCCAGTTGGAGTCCAGTGGTGAGGTCTTGGCTCACTGCAACCTCCTCCATCCAAATTCAAGTGATTCTCCTGCCTCCGCCTCTCGAGTAGCTGACATTACAGGCATGTGCCATCATGCCGGGCTAATTTTTTGTGTTTTTAGTAAAGATGGGGTTTTACTATGTTGGCCAGGCTGGTCTCGAACTCCTGAGCTCAGGCAATCTGCCTACCTCAGCCTCCCAAAGTGCTGGGATTACAGGTATGAGCCACTGTGCCCAGCCTCTTATTATGGTTTTAATGTGCATTTCCTGAAGCTTGCCATCTTATGCTAAATTTGAAAACTTTAAAAAAATGCAGAAGTCCTCTCTGTCTTGCTCAATCAGCTCTATTAAAAACTTCCTGCAAGCAGCAGGAATTCTACTGCATGAATGTTCACAGCATGAATCCCCACAAATAGGGCAGAACTTCTAAGGGTTATAAAATAAAGCTGAAGCTGCTGCCAGCACTGCTCTTATCAGCAGTGGCAGGCTCTATGCTGGACTGAGAATGATAGCGTTGCTGCTTCCAGAACAGAAGACGAGCATGAAATGGCTGTACACACTCCCATCCCTGCTGGAAGCTTATGGCCTAGAAGATATAACCACTCACATGTTAAGGGTTAGTGTTAGGAGGATGGAGGGATTCCCTGTGGAGGCTTCTGTTTTAATAACGACTTCCCAGGCTTCTACAGATTGAAGACTGCCTTGCATGAGAATGGTCCCACCTAATCCAGTATGCATTTTGAAAAAGGAAGGAACAGAATGCCCTTCGGTAAAGACTAGAAAATAAAACCCAGCCAAGTGCAGTGGTTCATGCCAGTAATCCCAGCACTTTGGGAGGCTGAGAAGGGTGAATTACCCGAGGTTAGGAGTTCAAGACCAGACTGGCCAACATGGCGAAACCCTGTCTCTACTAAAAATACAAAAAAAAATAGCCGGGTGTGGTGGCGGTTGCCTGTAGAGACTTACTATGGAGGCTGAGGCAGGAAAATTGCTTGAACCTAGGAGGCGGAGGTTGCAGTGAGCTGAGATCACACCACTGCACTCCAGCCTGGGGGACAGAGCAAGACTTCGTTCCCCCTCCACCAAAAAAAAAAAAAAAAAAAAAATCAAACCTTACCTCACATATCGCCTGTTTTAGAAGTGGGTATTTATGGCTGCGCTGCCAGTTCAGTAGCCATTGCCACGAGGCAACTGAGACTGAGGAACTGAATTTTTAAATCTTAAATTTTAATTAATTTAGAAACTAAAGCAGAATAAAATATTTTTCTGCTAAACACAACATTATTGTTTTGGTAATGCTACACGGCACTTTAGCCATGGAAAATCTAGCATCTTTGAGATGTTTGCTAGGTATACAATATGTACTTCTAAATACTTAGCGTAAAAATCACCAATTTTTGGCCGGGCACGGCAGTGGCTCATGCCTGTAATCCCAGCACTCTGGGAGGCCGAGGCAGGTAGATCACTAGGTCAAGAGATCGAGACCATCCTGGTCAATATGGTGAAACCCCGTCTCTACTAAAAATACAAAAATTAGCTGGGCATGGTGGTGCGCACCTGTAATCCCAGTTACTCGGGAGGCTGAGGCAGGAGAATTGTCTGAACCCAGGAGGCAGAGGTTGCGGTGAGCTGAGATCCTGCCATTGCACTCCACCCTGGGTAACAAAAGCGAAACTCCACCAAAATTAAAAAAAAAAAATCACCGATTTTTATATTGTTACATGTTAAAATAATCATATTTTGGATATACTGGTTTAAGTAAAATATATTGTTAAAATATTTATCTGTTCCTTTTCATTTTTTAAAGCAGCTACTAAAAAATTTAAACCCACATATGTGGATGACATCAGGCAAGATGGTGGCGTGGGAAATATAGGACTCCGTCTCCCTGTCTAGATAATTACACTGGCAGAATCTGTTGGATGTAACTATTTTGGAACTCTGGAATCTATTCAAAGGCTTGCAGCTGCCAAAGGAAGACTTGGACAGTAAACTGCAATTAATTTTGGTCAAATGCTCTTGGCACGGTAGTGGCTTACCATTCCCTTTCCTAGCTCCATGGCAGTCAGTCATGTACGTGTACCTGGTGCAGCCTGCAAAAAGCTTGTGGAAGTTAGAGAAGGGAATAAGGACCTTGCCTTCCACGTATCAGGGATCTGTGTTCTGAATCCTGCTTCTGATCATAGAGGTGCAGACACAGAGGCAGACGCTACTGCTGCAACGCCACCATCTGAAGTAGCTTTCAGAGTATTCAAAGACTGAGAGCCTGTTACCTCCTGGCCCCTTGGTTTCTCCCTCTTTTCCCTTTTGGGAGGCACATTTGAACAATGGAACATCAAAAAGCAGCTGCATATACAGGGAATTTAGAAAGCCACTACATATGTCCAGGGAAAGATTTAGGCTCAGAAAAGACCCCAGAAGAGCTTAAATTTATACCTTGAATAGATGCCTGGCACAGTCACTCTTCTACACTAAGAAC